GAAAGGTAGGAGTGAATGTGTTGTTTTGGTGATACGACTATTGTTGGTATGTTTGGGTCCGTGTCTGTGACTAGCTAAGTTTAGAATTAAGACAGAAGAAGACCGTCCTTCACCAATCCCCTTTTTGGTCTTGTGCCACATTTTGTAGATAAGTACGAATAAATAACTATTCCCCAAAAAATTCCGCTTGAAGATGGAACAGAGCTTGGTACTTTAATTCAAATAATTATATTGAAGTTTTCGGCTCTTGTTTTGAAACATGAGAACTTTTATGTAGCGATGGAATCCTATTTTTTAAATAAATAATTATATATATATATATATATATATATATATATATATATATATACTTATGGCAGTGGTACGAAGGGCTCAAAAGCTTTATGAATCGAGTTTGCCATCTAGTACTTGGTTTCTATCCGATGACGTGGTTCCAAAAGAATCTTACTAGTCTTTCCGGACTTGTTTTCGAACAGGACCAGACTCAATAACCGCTGGTCAGCCGACACCAAGGAATTGTTTGTCCTTTGTAAGCTTTAGTAAAATTTGCCTTTTTGCTATATTCTGTAATTCATGTTCTGTCAACCATTTAGGCGAACTACTTTATGTTTTGCTTGCTTCTGTCTCTTTTGCTTTCATTAGGTCCTGCGAGCGTAATTACCCTTGCTATAAATTTTCAACATTTTGCACCTCTGAAGACCCCCAGATCTCTTAGCGATTACAACATCTGCATCAGCTTATGATTTGATTGGTTATTTCAAACGAACCTAATTTTGGTTTCAAGAGAACTGTAATAATTAATTTAAGTAATTAATTAGTGGTTATTTAATTTCATAAATAGTTAATTTGGCACGCGTCTTTAATCATCACCAACACCTTTTTATTTCGTCTATTTAATTACTAATTTGATACAAAATTTACCTGTGACTTTTTTTTTCTCGCAAAATGCCAAGAGAATCGAGGAAGAGACTTTATTTATTTTGGGAATCTGAAGTGCGTCGTTTAAAAGCCTCAAGAAAATTTTAGAACCCTCTTTTCTCATATGCTTATAGAATCGAACATATTTAGTATGAAAACGTACGCACACACGCACACATACGCACACACGCACACACACAGAGACGCGCGCGCGCAGACACACACACACACACATACAAGTTTACCGTGAGCGGTGAAGTTTCCTGGGTGTCCGAGTGCAAGTTATTAGATATCCACATTTATCTGAAATAGTTCAATTATCTGAGATGTCCCGGCACGGGTACGGGAAACAGAGCAATAGAAGATTGAATAGAAATAGCGATCTGTATATTAATAGAGGATAGAGTAGAAATAGCGATCATTATAGTAATAGAGGATAGAGTAGAAATAGCGATCATTATAGTAATAGAGGATAGACTAGAATAGCGATTAATTAATACACGCTACTTCCCATATATGCGTTTCCTCTATGGTCACGTGGTCTACTTATTTCAATAATGTAATCGCCTATGTTTGCTCACTGGCGATCTATGATCAAACTCAAGTGTCGGCAGCGATACTTTATTTCTATATAACACCTTAATATATGACAGTTTCCGTAGTGAATACTGTTGTGGCCTTTTATGTTTAGGGCTTCTATTATTTTTAAACGTTTTCTAAAGTTAATTATATGTACTATATTTGTCATTTTTACACATTTTGTGCATATAGAAGTCGGTATATTTCCGTGTTGATTTAAATGGGTCCTTATAGATGAGTGATCCAGGAATGGTCAACTGTCATGATATGCAGTATGCAATTCTTTATGCCGTAAATGTATTAGCTGTGTTCGGGAATTAAAAACATATCTACTGTCTATATTTACATACGCTCTATCCCTCAAATCGAGTACTTTTTTCGTATTGAAATGGAAGTCCTCCGCGACACATTCATCACCGAAAATATTGTGTAAACAACTGAATCAATGTCAAAATTTAAACGACTAATAAAGCCGGAGTCCACGCTTCAAATCTACAGATCTACCATTCATCCTTGCACTGAATGCAGTTGTCATAATTGTTCCGGTGCACCCCCCCCGGCCCCACCGCTGCTCGAGGTACTCGACAAAATCCATTGACTGATACGCAATGTGATAGGTGCAGATCTGGCATCTCGTCTACAGTCACTTTCTCACAGACGTGTGGTGGCTTCACTCTGTCTTTTCTACAAGTATTTTCATGGCAACTGCACTAACGAGCAACTTTTGCTGGTTCCCGAACTGCATGAATTTAAGCGTGCTACTAGGCTGGCATCTCAACCTCACACATTTACTGTCAAAACAGTTTAATGTAACCGCCTCTTCTACTCTAAAAACTCCTTTTCTCGCACTTCCCGTCAGTGGAACTCTCTTCCTTCTACTTGCTTCCCTCATAGCTATAATCTTCAAATATTCAAATGTAATGTCAATCGACATCTTCTGATACCTTGATCCTGATCTCCGTCCTTCTCTAAATTCTTTCCTCTAACGCGCCGCTTTACTCTTGTTCTCAGTCTCTGTAACACCTTGCGTGCTAGTGGTACTCCCGCCTTGCTCGGGGTGAAATGCTTAAAAAAAAAAAAAAGAAGAAATAAATCAAACTTTTAGCTAGTGCATGATTTGATAACTGAAGAAATTCAGAATTATATCTAAAACAAAATAAAAATCAATTGTAAGTCATTAACAGGAATATTTTAAATATTTCCGGTTGGTTGAAACATTATTAGAGCCATGAAAACACATATTAAAGGAATATTCATATTTTTAAATATAAAAAAAAAACAAAGTTAAAGTCTATATTTCTGAGATGAGGTATTATGTACACTATTTACATTATTCGGACTATTGTCCTCATCTTTGTCGCCATATTTATCACAACGTTTCGGCCGTTGTACGCTCCGGCCTTCTTCAGGTGGCTGCAATGTCGAACTGAACCCTTTATTTCGTCCGCTGGAGTAGACTGTTCTAGTTCGATATGGATGAATGGCTGTCAGTTGTCAGTTATCTCCTGTTCATTCACCTCTCCAAGTTCTCTATTGCCTTAAGCAGGTATTGAACTCACAACTCTTTGGGTCCTGTCACTGGATTTAACCAACACCTTTATCCGCTGTCCCATGTTTCCTTAAGGACAAAATTCAAAATTAGCCAATTTCATTTACATTCTTTTTCTTGTTAGATATCCATCATTGCAATAATAGATCAGCCAGGAATGGTGACATTTTACAAGAGCCAGGGCATAAAACTAAATAAAAGATTATAAAATAGTACTTAGTTTACTATCTTTATGAAACTGCTTAACTATTAATGTAAGAAATTGTTGTCCTAATTTATTCTTTACCATTTGGTTGTAGGGGGGTGAATACCAAATTATTTTTCTAATTCTGTTTTTTTCTATGCTATCCATTTTCATTTTTTATATTAGTTTTGGGCTTTTGTAGCCACTATCTTTTAGAGCTTTATTATATAATAGAAAATCCATGGAAAATCTTCTCATTTGCTGAATTTGTACTTATACTTTTTTCGATAGATAAAAAAAAAATTATTTAAATATAATATAAAAATTAAAAATAAGTTATTCCAAAATTCGCTTGAAGATGAAACGGAACTAATGTTTTTAATTTAATTATATAATAAAATTTGAAGTTTTTAGCTTTGGTTTTTGAAACATGGTTATTACTGTGTAGCGAAGAAACCATATTTTAATTCAGTTAATATATATATATATTTGTGTGTGTGTGTGTGTGTGTGTGTGTGTGTGTGGCATATTTTCCGCAGTCATCAATGATGACATGTCTATGTCCCGGTTTATTGTGGCATGAAAAAATAACTGCCCCATCTCTACCCTCTGAGCGTACTTTTCTATTTAACGTAGATCCGACATTTAATTGGTAAATCAAGGCTAACCTACAAGTCTATTTTGAATTCTGACCTTATATCCCCCACCTTTAACGTTCGGAAAAGAGGTAACAATTTGTTTTTAAATTTCCTTCACCAGTTACTTATCATTGCTGAAGAAATACAGTCATAGTATTGAAACATGAAAGATTTTGTGTAGCGATTTCAAAATCTCTTACAATAAAAATATTATATATATAAATAAAACATTATATATATATATATATATATATATATATTATAATAAGAATATAACAATGATATATTTCTCTACTTTGTATTGATCACTTTTTAAAAGTAAATGCTGCGAACGGTGGATTTTTTACTCCATTTGTTCTTTTCTCATTTATATATATATATATATATATATATACACAAATCAGAGAAAGAACTTTAACAACACACACACACACACACATATATATATATATGTTAAAGTTCTTTCTCTCATTTGTATATATATATATATATATATATATATATATATATATATATATATATATATATACCAATGAGAGAGAGAACTTTAATATATATATATATATATATATATATATATATATATGTGTGGGGGTATTACAGGCGGGTGAAAGAAATTTGACAGATAAAAGACAATAACAACAGTAATAATGTTTATAATAAAACTAATATTTATTGTATTTTAGTAGGCCTTTTTAATAAATGGTAGCATCTATGAGAGAAGATGTTAAAATCGGAATCTTTTGTGTCCTTTCTCAACAAGATAAGAAATAAAAAGAAAATGAGAAATGGAGTTTGCTTTTCATTTACGGGAATTTTTTTTTGATTTTTTATTTCTTATTAGCGAAGAGATCTGACAGTTTTGTACTTATTGTTTGCCACGGTTGTTTTATGCTAGACTCAATCATCCTTTGTCTATTCGTATCTATCTATCTATCTATCTATCTATCAGGTCATGTTGACCTGATGGTTACGTTTAGCATGAAACAGTCTGTCACCTCTGAGTGTTGACTTCAATGTTCACTTTTATATTCATATTTACATACGCTCTATCTCCGATATTGAGCATTTTATCCCATAAATGTAGCCTACCTTTCTCAATATATATATATGTGTGTGTGTGTGTATAAACAGATTGAAAGAAAGAAAGAAAGAAAGAAAGAAAGAAAGAATATACGTTTTATAGTTCTCCGTTCGACCTAATGAGAAAATTTGATCAAACATCAAATTTTATATGGGAGTTTTTCTTGTTTGAATCGAGAATTTTTCAGTTCCCCCTACTATATATGACAAGAGAGACAGAGAGAGAGAGAGAGAGAGAGAGAGAGATGTGGGGGAGAGGAAAAAGAGAAAGAGATAAAGAAGAAAATATGTCGTAAATGTGACAACAGAAATGATTTCATTTCAAGCTTTGTTTATTTTAGATCAATTTAATTTGTATAATTTTGTCGTTTGACTATCCCAAGTATTCCATTTTCTATTTTTTTTTTACCTTTCTGATATTTTAAATACTTTTTCTTTATTTTTTATTAAATATTGGCCATATGTTGTTCTTGTTAGTCTTTCCATTGTTTGAATAGATTCGTGTCAATGTATATTTATAATTCAGCTATACACACACACACGCACACACACACACACACACACACACACACACACACACACACACACACATATATATATATATATATTCCCACACAGTAAAATAAATATACAGTGTGTGTGAGAGAGAGAGAGAGAAAGAGAGAGAGAGATAGAGATAAAATATCAATTGATTTCCATAGATCGATAACAGGAGAGGTGAATATAAACAGACCGAGCAGACGTAAAAATAAACATATGGAAATTAGATGGATGATAAAGGGAATGTCTAGCAATCAGGTCAGTATATATATATTTTTATATATATGTATATACTGACGTGTAGCGTCAGTATATATATATGACTGTAGACGAGATATTAAATGAATCATTTTAAACGTACAAACAAAAAGAAAACCGTAGAGACGATCCAACGAAATGAATAGGAAAGACCGCAATTGCCCATGTGTAATACGCCTTCATCCATAATAAGCACACCTAAAATTGTGCTGAAAGTGTGGGAAAATGCTTCTACTCACGCATAATACGCACCCCTTGTTTGGTAAATAAGCACTATAAATAGTACCTCTCAAATTTAATTACGGGTAGCTTTTTCTTACTCTTATTTAAAGAAAATGTTTTTAAACATAGAATAATATTATTCTAATTTAGTTTTATAATAATTCTTATTTTATTTTACGGCGATTTTAAAAGATTTTTTTAGCTGTGCGTAATACGCACCCTTGATTTTCCTAATTATTTTTTTAGAAAAAAAGCGTATTATACATGGGGAATTAGATGGATGATAAAGAAATGGAAATTAGATGGATGATAAAGGGAATGTCTAGCGATCAGGTCAGTATATATATATATATATATATATATATATATATATATATATATATATATATATATATATGTGTGTGTGTGTGTGTGTGTGTGTGTTTTGCTGGATCGTCCTCTGTTCAACCAAGAATGGTACTGATAATGGGAAACATTCGGCATTCATTGACCAAGCCAAAGCTGCCGTCGTTTCAGATTCATATAATTCTATTAAAACAATTTTTCAGAAAAATAGGTTTCCAAAGTTCAATATCTTCTCTTTCTCGTATTGACTAGTGTTTCCTTTCTAACCTTTTATCTGAAGTAGTGTGGAATGTTAACGTCCTAATTATGTCATTATTTTCTCTTTGAGGTTCAAGTGATATCCATTTAGTTGCTGTTCCGCTTGAAAATCAAGTGATGTCGTTTCTGTTATTTGGTACAGTTCTTTGTGATTCTGTAGAGTTAACCCTCAAGGTTCGAAGAAGATTGGACCACGCTACGGCCTACAGATTTCATTGGATCCAAGTTATTTTTAATCATTGATCTTTAGAAGCGGTGGCATACAGCTGAGAGTTTAGATATTTCTGAATAAGTATGGTGCCTTGCATGGTATCCATATGAAATTCATTTTGAACTGACGAAGCTATTTAAGAATATGACTTGAATTATAAGGTTAATGATTCGGTTTGGCAACATCATATATTATTGAATTTCTAATGTTCGTTCATTTGGTAACATATGTAAGTTGATCGGACCGAGAATATTTCAATACCATCTTTTATGCACACACACACACACACACACACACACACACACACACACACACACACATATATATATATATATATATATATATATATATATATATATATATATTATTTTTTTTTTTTCAGGTTGAGCTCTCGGGGAAAAAGTGATTTTGTAAACACTGACTATTACTGCTGCTGATGGAAGACTCTTCGTTCAGACGAATCGAGTTCTCAGTCACTGTCGTGTTTATCTAAAAATAAATACGTCTAAATTCGCCTTCATCCCTGCCGTGCGCTAATGGCTTAGGGGTAGAATCTCCCGGTTTCGATTCAGGCTTGAGGTAATCAGATGTCTAGCCATACTGATGAGAAAGTGTGTTTGTCTTTCTCCCCACCCTCTCTCTCTCTCTATATATATATATATATATATATATATATATATATATATATATAGTGTATTGGGGCAGCATGTCATTATTCAAACGTATATTGTTAAATATAGCAGACACCGAATGTCTATTATGTTTGATCATGAGCCGTTCTAAGCCTCGTAGATTCGGGAGAAAATAAGGACAAAAATTGTCCAACATTTGGATATTTTTTGATGCTGCTCATTGATCGAAGCTTTTAGCTCACATGACCCATCACCAGAGTGGGTTTTATGGACATTAAAACAGAGATGTTCACTATCAAAGATGGCATCCTGTTATGTTTACATAGAAGTTTTCTATGCGGCAATAACGTTAGCGGAATAGTAGACGCAGATTGTAAATTCGCAATTCGGCTTTATGTCGTTGTACATGACCATGCGAGAGAAAGAAATGTCATCAACATGAGAACGAAAGAGAGAAAAGAAAGAGAGAGGGAGAGAAATTGAAGGAACAAAGAGGGAGTCGAGAGAAAGCGAAAGAAGGGGATAGAGAGCAAAAGAGAGAAGAGATAGGGATATAAAGCGAGTGAAAAGAGCAAGAAAGAAGGAAGGACAGAAAGCGAAAGGCAAGAGAAAGAAAGAGAGAGGAATGGAGAGTGAAAGAGAAAAGAGAGAGGAGGAATAAAACGTAGGAAAAAAGTAAAAAAGAGGAGGTGGAGAAAAAAACGAAAGACAAGTGACGTGACTCATTTACATATGAAGTCACAAAGACTATAAATAACTACAGCTATTACCCATGAGACATTTGAGTGCCTACTACTTCCCGTGAATCAGTAACACTACATTATAATGGCGTCGCCGATATCTAAAAAACCGAATGAACAATTATCACATGATAATTATAAATACGCACAAGCGTGGCTTTGGATACGCGCAGCTAAAGCTAGACCAAAAAAGCTGAAGGATTTAAAATCAGTTAGGGGAGAAAACTAAATAACTGATCTCTTCTTGGCAACTGCTGGTTGTAAGGCTATTATAAAAGTATCAGCAATTGCACACCCAAGACAGTTGGAGAAAATGACGTTTGACGATATGTCAACTAATAGCGAAAAACACAGCACACAAGAAAAAAACTAGTGAATGCAGAGAGAGCTAAATTCATGAATATTTATCAAAAAAGTGAATGAACCAGTTACTGAATATTTCCTTCGTTTAAAACAGGCCACTGAATATTGTGAATTTGAGAAACTGGGATCGGTAAACCAGTCAATCGAAGAGGACTTCATCCAAATGAAATTGGTAAACGGCCTTCAAAATGAGGAGTATCGGCAAATGACTCTAATGCATTTACAAGTGGGAAAATTGTCACTAGAACAGTGTGTCGAATTTATTCAGCAACAAGAATTAATTCAAAAATTTAATAGAACGAAACTTACAGATTCGGTCGAGGAAATCGACACATACGCGATAAAGAAATAAAAGAACAATGTTGTACCTTTTGTGGATATTGACATCAAAGAGAAAAACAAAAATGTCCGAAAAATGTTTCAAAATTAATCATTTTAAACGTACAAACAAAAAGAAAAACGTAGAGACGGTCCAACGAAATGAATAGGAAATACCGCAATTCCCCATGTATAATGCGCCTTCATCCATAATATGCACTCCTGAAATTGTGCTGAAAGTGTGGGAAAATGCTTCTACTCACGCATAATACCCCTTGTTTGGTAATTAAACTCTATAAATAATACCTCACCAATTTAATTACGGGTAGCTTTTTCTTACTCTTATTTGAAGAAAATGTTTTTAAACATAGAATAATATTATTCTAATTTAGTTTTATAATAATTCTTATTTTATTTTACGGCAATTTTAAAAGATTTTTTGTAGCTGTACGTAATATGCACCCTTGATTTTGCTAATTATTTTTAGAAAAAATGCGCATTGTACATGGGGAATTAGGTAAGTATGGACGTCTTTTCATTGAAAAGAAAAAGTAAAAGGTTATTAAAAACTCGAATAATTAATATTTTATTGTACATGCAACTAGTTAAAGAAAGTGACGTGACGCTGACCCTAGAATTTTCTGGAAGAAATTAGGAAAACCAAGACAAAAGCGATATTCAATTGAATCAATTTGACGAAACTGTGACAAAAACGTAAGGCTACTCTGAAGCCTACGTAAAACTAAAAAAATAAACTTGTCGTATTACCAATTATCGTGGCAAACTGTGAAAAGAATCATGGTCTAATAGGAAATGATATATTGAACATAAATTCGATGAAATTAGTAAACAAAGTAAAGGCAGAATAAACTGGAATGTCAAAAAATTACGAAGCAAAGTTAAGACTAAAGGAAAATTTCTCTCCCTCATATTTTCAAACAAAAAAAGTGACAGGCCATTTACTACCAATAGTTGTGGAAAAACTAAAACAATTACTGGAACAAGATCTACTTGAACGAGTTCCGCCAAGAGGGAACAAACGGGCCTCCCCCACTTAGTAAGTTTTTGAAAGAAGGATGGGGATTTGCGCATGTGTGGTGACTACAAAATAAGTGCAAACCACAAAATACAGGGTGTCCATAAAAAGTTCGTGTATACTTAAAAAAATTATAACTTTATTTGTATTTGCGATAGAAATAATTTGTAAAAAGCATTAGAAAGAAGTAAATCTATATTTTTCAAGATTTTATTGAAATTCTATTTAAGTTTCCACATGTCCTCCATCATTAGCAATACAAAGGGTAATACGATTTTGAAGTTCACGGAAAACATTTACCAACTGATTTACGGTAATGCCTGAAATCACATTAGTTATTTTAGCAATACTTAAAACTAGGTACATTAAACTTTATAACATTTTTTACAAATTATTTCTATCGCAAATACAAATAAAGTTATAAAGTTTTATTTTTTAAAAGTGCACATGGGGTTTCAATTCCCTTGCAGGTTTGAAACTATTCTTTAAAATTGAACTAAAGTCGGCCTACCTATCTCGAAGACTTTAAAAAAGACACAGAAATAAACACGCTAATAGTCTTGTTAAGATAAAAAAAGAATGCCGTATAAAATTAAAAGTACATGTTCGATTTTTCAAAGGTTTATAGAGAAAATTATTGGTAACGATGTAAAAACAATACAATATGCTACAAGGGTGATATTGTGTTGGTGCTATTAACGAAGAAGAACTAAAATGTAAAACCAGTAGGTTTTTGAATAAATTAAAATTGCTGGATTAACAATTAATGAAAAAATGAGTGCCCAACAATAAAGAAAACAAAGTTTTTGGGATATTCCATATGTAACGAAGGTTTATCCCCAGACCAATCGTTAATTGACAAAATCTTAAAAGTTGAAGAACCTAAGAACAAAAAGGATTTGGAATCTTTCTTAGGACGTGTAAATTTCTTCAGACGATATGAAGAACGTGGCATTTGTAAGAATATTAAACCCGACAAAGGAAATAGTCGTAACAACTTCTGCAATTGAACATTCAATCTTGGGAATATTAGCTCAGAATGGTCATCCTATTATGTATCTTTCGAGAAAATCTTCAAAAGCCGAATTGAACCATTCAAATATTGAGAAAGAAGCATAGACCATAATATGGACGACAAATAGAGCAGTTTTTAATTGGAAAGAAATTCATACTAAGTTCCGACCATAGACATTTAGAATTCATATTTAATCCCAGAAAGAAACTTTCTAAAGCAACATTTTCTAGAGTTCTAGGAAGGGCCTTAAAGTGAATGGCGTTTGACTTTGATATTGAGTATGTGAAAGGCAATACCATTCCACATGCAGACGTTGAGATTGAGGTTCATTACTTCTGAAAATGAGAAAGAGGAGGAAAAATTCGAAGATATTTTCTTACACTGGGTCGTAACTGATATTTTGTCGATAGACAAATTAGATGAAGATACGAAGCGAGATCCCATATTGAAAAGTATATTGACCAGGATAAAAACATAATAAGTGGCATAATTACTCAAGGACAGAAAGGCATTTTAAAGATATTAAAGACAAGTTAACCGTAGAGAAGGGCGTAATTTGTAGTCGAGACGTAGTGGTTTCGACAGCAAGGGAATAAAATTATAAAAGTATACATGACGATGTTTTTTGCGTAATTACGTCTACGCAAAGGAGATTAAGGCTAGAGGCATGGTGGCCAGGCTATTCTACAGATATAGAAGAATACATAAAAAGGTTAAAATGTGCAATAAAAGAAAAAAATAGACAAAACCATATATATGGCCTAAAGAGTCCCAACTTTGAGACAGTGTTGGATTATGCCCATGTTAATGGAATAGGATTATTACTAATACTGGTAGATGCCTATTCAGACTGGCCAGAAGTAATACAGGTTTTCCAACAAAAGTAGTTCGGCCGTGAAACAAGCATTAAGGATCATATTTTCAAGAAATAGAATTCCGAAAATGCTAGTATCTGAAAACATCCTAGAATTCTATGACGAGGAACTATGCCAATGGTTGAACAGAATTGGATTCAAACCATATCAAACACCACTGCACCATCCACAATCAAATGAATTAGCAGAAATGACGGTGCAAACTATAAAAAGATGGATTAAAAAATATGTGTACAACCAAAAGAAAAGATAGAAACATAGATTGATGCTAAGCTATAGAACAATACTACATGCTAAAAGACAGAAAATCCCGCCCATCCTTATGGGTAGACAAATCAGAGTTCCATTGACTATGTCTTATGCCACTAACTTTGGTATAAAAAGAATAGTGAATCTATTTTACAAGAGGTAAGATTCATAATGCAAAATGGACAGAACACTATAATAATAGAAAAAAAATGTAAATGAAATATGCAGACCAAGTTAAACTGAAACACAATAGCGATGAAAAAATGTATTGAGGGAAAGTAATAAAGGCGAGAGTGTTAAGTCAATGCAAGACAAAGATGAGAGGGAAATCGAGAGTAAGATAGACCCTGAAGATGAACAATCGTTAGAGGGGACAATCATAAGAAAAAAAAAAGTAAAAGATAACGATCTACCCTTATCTAGGAAATCTCTTCTTCGAGAGGTGGTGGTGAGAGTGAGGTGACAAAAGCTCCCAGAACTACCAGGGAAAATAAAAGGAGAAAAGCCCTCTTGGGTACAGGGAGATGAGGTGACTCATTTACATATGGAGTCACAAAGACCATAAATAGCTACAGCTATCACCCATGAGGCAGTTGAGTGCATACTACTTCCCGTTAGTCAGTAACACTATAGTACAAGAGTAAGAGAGAGAGAGGGGGCATGGATGGATAGTGAAAAAGAGAAGAGAAAGAGAGAATGAGAGAAGGTGATGGTAAAGAGTAAGAAAGAGGGATGGAGAGAAAACGAAAGAAAAGAGTAAGAGAGAGAGAGAGAGGGGGGCGGATGGATAGTGAAAAAGAGAAGAGAAAGAGAGAAGGAGAGAAGGCGATGGTAAAGAGTAAGAAAGAGGGAAGGAGAGAAAACGAAAGAAAACAGTAAGAGAGAGAGAGAGAGAGAGAGAGGGGGGGGATGGATAGTGAAAGAGAAGAGAAAAGAGAAGGAGAGAAGGTGATGGTAAAGAGTAAGAAAGAGGGATGAGAGAAAACGAAAGAAAAAGTAGAGAGAGAGAGAGAGAGGGGGGGCGGATGGATAGTGAAAAGAGAAGAGAAAGAGAGAAGGAGAGAAGGTGATGGTAAAGAGTAAGAAAGAGGGATGGAGAGAAAACGAAAGAAAAGAGTAAGAGAGAGAGAGAGAGAGGGGGGGTGGATGGATAGTGAAAAAGAGAAAAGGAGTGAAGGCGATGGTAAAGAGTAAGAAAGAGGGATGGAGAGAAAACGAAAGAAAAGAGTAAGAGAGAGAGAGAGAAAGAAAGAGGGGGATGGAAGCCTAAAGAGAGAAGAGTAAGAGAGAAGGTGATAGAAAAACTGAAAGACGTAAGAAAAAGAAGAAAATTTAGAGGCGAATAATGAAGATGAAAAGGAAAAGAAAAAGAGGAAGAAAACGAATAGTGATAAGATAAAGGAAAGACGATGAAAAAGATTTCGACAGTGAGAAAGGGACAGAAGCCAGGATACCACGTCTGGAACAATAACATTGCAGATTCTTCTTTGGATTTTATCAAGAATCTCTAAATATATAGCAGTAGCACCAGACCTATCCACTAGTTCTTTTCGTTCTGTAGAACGCAAACATACAGTTTGTGCATTTTACATATCTTTTCTAAGTGTTCGCATATAGAAAATTGTCATTTGTTTAATGTTTGCTAATTCCTGTGTATGTTGCTTTGAAATACTTTACACCAATGACTTCAGGGCTTTAGCAAAGTACGATGAACGGTGCCCGGTCAGAGTCCATCTTCTAACGACGTTTCTCCCGAACGAAATTTTACAAACCAATTACGCATTCGCCGGTGAATTGAGTGGCGAATACGTAACTGACTGTAAACACGACATATTTTTCTCGATGTTCTATAACCTTATACCCTTTCTTGGACACCCATAACATTATGTGACGAATATTCTTTAACCCGCTGTGTACGCTGTTATGCAGAGATTAAAGTATGTTTGTGCAGTTTAAATTTATTCCTAACTGCCACATGATTAGTAGTTAGGATGATAAATTGGTCATTACAATTTGTTCCCTAAGTCAGAAATTACTTATGAATCGACCTAATATCTGTTAACTTATGAAAGGTGTTTCATTAAAACGGATTATATATAAGGATGTTTCATTAAGACGAATCAAAGTCAGCAATAAATAAATCAGTGTTATTGGTGAAAATTTAATTATTTCTCTATTGGATCATGTTATTTAAGTCATGGCAATTATGTCTAAAAAATAATATCGTCCAAATATCTGCCAAATCTGAAAGAAAAAATATCATTAGACGTTTAAAATTAATTGACATTTAAAATCGGTCCAATTTATTGGAACACACTTTATAAACGAACACATTTATGTGTACTTTTGAACACTTCAGTTTACGACACACACACATACACACACACAAAAAACAATTACTGCTATCAGGCTTATATCCTACTTTAGTCGCATGGGTTGTTTTGTTATCCCCAAAATTTAAAACGTACTCGTAATTCCTAGTGAAGAACTTGTTTCGATTGCTCCCTTTCACTACTCTTCTGATTCAATGAAGGTGTGTAGCACGTGGAGTGGCGCAGTTGTAGCTCTGTTATGTGAGGATTATTCTTTAATTTACAGTGCACGTTGTCATGCAAAAACTAAGGTAAGATTGTGTATTCCAAATTTATTCTGAACTTATTCATATACAATAAGTAATTATGGTTATACCTGCGTCATTACAATTGGTTCCAAAACGGAAACTATTCGTGACTTAAATGAATAGAAGGCAAGGATAGAAATGCTCTTTCAGTGTGTTTTTTCCAGAAAATGCACAAGCACTTTTCTATTGATAAGGGAATAGTCAGAAAAGTTTTATGCAACAAGTGTACATTTTGTTGTCGATGGAAGGAAAGAAGGACGATCATTTAGGGGAATGGGATAAGAAAAAAAAATAATAAAATAAACGAAGAAAGCAAGAAAAAAAAAGAGAGAAGAAATAATCAAGAAAAGCAAGAAAAAAAGAGAAAAAAATAAGCGCGGAAAGAAAGCAAAATAGATGGGGAAAAAAGCAAAGAAAACAAAAAGAAAAGGAGAAAATAAACGAAGAAAGCAAGAAAAAATGAGAGGAAAAAATAAATGAGGAAAGCAAGAGAAAAAAGAGAGGAACAATAATCGAGGTAAGTAAAAAAGAAAGAGTGATCGAAATAAGTCAGGAAAACAAGAAAAAAGAGGGGGAAAAATATGCGAATAAAGCAAGAAAAAAGAGGAAAAATAAGCAAGGAAAGTAAGAGAAAGAGAAAAAATAAGCAAGGAAAGTAAGAGAAAGAGAGGAGATAAGCGAGGGAAGTAAGAGATAAAGAGGAAAAATAAACAAGGAAAGTAATAGAAAGAGAAGAGATAAGCGAGGGAAATCAGAGAAAAAGAGAAAAAATAAGCAAGGAATGCAAAAAAAAAATCAAAGAAAAATGGAAGAAAATAAAGGAAAAAAATAAAAAGAACGGAAAAATAATTGAGAAAAGCAAGAAAAAATCGAGGGAAAAATCGAGAAACGAAGAAAAAATGAGAAAAAATAAACGAGAAAAGCAAGAAAAAAAAAGAGAGGAAAGTTAGGAAATCAAGAAAATAAAATAGGATCTAATAATCGAGGAAAACAAGAAAACGAGGAAAAAAATAAATGAGGAAAGCAAGAATAAAAAGAGGAAAAAAATAAGCGAATACTGCAAGAAAAAAGTGTGGAAAAATATGCGAGGAAAACAAAATAAAAAAAGAAAAGAAAAATAAGCGAGTAAAGGAAGAAATAAAAAGCGAAGAAACATCATTGATGTTCAATTTTAATTGCGAACTGGTGTGTGTCGGAGAAAAATGAGCGGTCTGCTTATGGGCGTGTGAAGTGTTTGTATATCTTTGTAGAAGAACCTCAAGGCCAGCGCCAATTTCTAATATCAATATAGACAAAGCGATAGATAACTGACTGTTCAAAACAAATAGATCACGTCTGTAGAAATAAGCGTCTTACAAAATACAAAAATGTAAAATGTAAACGTTTACAAAGCTGATGTGCTGCTCACTTCTTTATATGATATCGAATATTGGGTCATCTATTTCCACCACCTATGCCAGTTTGGATGTTTCTATCAACTGACTATTCTCAGTAGGCAATGGAGAAAATTTGTTACTAAAACTCAAGATTGTAAATGTCATAAATAACGTGGCCATATACCAAAAGATACACTCATGTAACATATAGTGGTTAGAACGATATTTATTTATACAATGTATAAAAGGTGGCACAAGGCCTAAAAGGGGGTGGGGGAAAGACGGTCTTCTGTCTTAATTCTAAACCCAAACATACCAACAATGTTCCAATCACCAAAACAACACATTCACTCCTACTTTTCTTACTGCGTCCACCATAATACCTCAAATTCTCTATGAAATCCTAACTAGTCCCCATATGTACAAATATTTTCGTGGGGGGAGGGGCACTAACACTAACTCACTGTTTAGTGAACTACCCATAAATCACAACAGTACTATGAAAGTTACAAGGCCTCATTTTTTAGAAGACTGAACCTTAAAATGTGACGTGGCTAGATATATATGTGTGGTAGTTTACTTACAGCACTATTTAGGAAAATGTGACAGGTGATTATTTCTTAAAACTGGAAAAACGTGGAGTTATTTCGCAGTGGAGGCTTGTATTCATACTAAATCGGTCCTATATAGGTTCGACGTACAAAACGTTAGGAACTTGATATAATAGGTATTACGCAGAGTAATCTTGTTGTGGTCGCTGACTACTTTCGTATTCGACTAAGTGTCGACTACTGTCGTCCAACATCGACTGACCCTCGTTTCTCTTACTACTCCTACTTATATTAGGCAGGAGAGTCGATTAACTATAGAATAAGTATGTTTCACTTTAACATCAACCCTCCTAAAACCTTACTCCGTGGGAGTAAAACAGTTTTCTTTATTAATTTTTTTACAGGAAATATGAAGAAGAAAAAAAAAAAAACTTCATTTTTTAGCAACATCTTAGCGTATCTTCTACGTTTCGAATCCACTTTTAAATGATCAGTTGCCTTTCTTTTTATCCTGGATCGGCGTACCTCAAGTAAAATCGTTGCAGGCGTTGTTGGATCAAACGTATCGAAAATCACCTCCATCGGTGTTTCTTCCGCGGGACCGCTGTCAACCACATCTGAAGAGCGTCGTCTGATCTGGTTAATGTGCCGTTTGCACGTGAATTTTTCGCCTTTCAAGTACATCATATTGCCAATCCGCTTTTCTATTTTTTTGGTACCTTCATAGTGTTACCAGAAACAACCTTCCGCTTTGAGCTTCTTAAGGATGGAGTCACAGTTTCTGTAGGTTCTTCTTGTGGTTCTATTTGTTCAGCCTCTAGCTTCCCTTTTGTTGATCTTGTGCTTCTTAACGTTTTCTGTGGTGACTTCAGTTGACTTAAATCATTTAATAATACCGCCTGTCCTTGGCTGCGGGTAACTCGCTCCCCAGTTTTCTTTATCTTTACTTTCTGGGGTTTTTTCCCGTATACCGTCGGTGTTGCCCATTCACTATACTCAACTTTTTTTTAAGTACACCGGTTTTCTCTAATCTGTCCAATTCTTTATCTATCTGTTCCATTGAGGCAAACGGCACATTCCTTTTCTTTTTGAATACCGCCTGAGCGTTTTCTTTTAGTTGGAATTTTGCCTCCCTCTTGGTACACGTTCCCAACCCTGGAGAAAAAACAGTAGGAAATGTTTCCTTAAGTTTCTTTACTAATTTGGGGGCTTCGGTGTTTAAACTTTCTACCTTGTAACAGAAGGAATTTATCGGTAGATCCCATAATTGGAATTCTGTTATCCAATTCGTACCAAGTAAGTTCATGGTATTTTCTATGACAAATAGTTTAGCTTTTCGCGTTTTTTTTTATTTAACGTGACGTTTGTAACAAATTCCCCAATAAATTGTATTTTTTCTCCCGTCACTGACCTCGCGATTTTTTTTGCCTTCATTAAAGTTGGTTTCCCCAACTTCTTCTACGTATGCAAATTTATGATAGATAGGTCGGCACCAGTGTCGAGTTGCATTTTTATATTTTTATTACTTATTTCGACGGTAATAAATTTTCTGGTTATTCCATCGTTCATCTCGTCGGACTTTAATTATCTTATTTTATTGTCTTTATTTTTTGACCTGCAATGCGTGCTTTTATGACAAACACTTTTACAGTTGAAACATTCTTTATTCCTAAAATCGCAATATCTGTACCAGTGTAGTTCACCGCAAGCAAAACATGTCTTCGGGAGTTTTTGTTTATTTTTCTCTGGTATTTCACTTTTTTTTGATAATCCGCAATCTTAGAATTCTTTTTGGTAGACTGACTTTCTTCTTTGTGGCGTATTTTTCTTACATGCGAAACGCCACACTGTTCTATCGTTTTTGAATCTTACTTTACGCTACCATATCTTGTACAGTCTTCTGCCAATTTCTGTACCGTAATACTTGGATCGCTTTCCAATTTTGCCAGTACTAATTTTCTCAACTCTGCGTCTCTTTCCGATACCAGCCCCTGAACAAACACCAAACACTTAAAATTGTCTGCGCTTAACTCTGCCAGCTTGAATTCTTCACAATGCTTATTCACATTGGCTGCGTACGTTATATAGTCTTGTTTGTCATCTTTCATCAGATTCAAACATTTCCACCTCTTGTGAAACAGAGCTGTCTTTTTCCTAAATAATTCACTTAATATATTTACCGCCTCGGTAAATGTCAACTCGCTAGTTTTTTTCGGTAAAATGTAGTTTACCAATTTGTTATGCTCAGCAGTTCCTAATTTGCTTAAAAGAAGCCTAACCTCCTTTCCTTCAGACCACGAGTGGCAGTCCTCGTTATACACGTACGTATATTTTTATAATACTCCCCAAAAGTTATCTCTTCATCTGGACTGTACGTGAATATTTCAATTGAATTCCATATTGTATTCTCTGGGAAGGAATCATATTGTAGATTTTTCTGTTTCTTCTTCTCACTTAGAACTTTGTTTTGAAACTCCCTATGTATCTGTATCTGTTTTTGTTGGAATTGCATTTGTCTATTGAAAGTTTCCTCCTGTAGCTGCATCTGGAATGTTTTTTGTTGCTCTAATATTGTTATCTGTTGTTCCGACTGGAACTTAAAAATTCGGAATATATTTTGCATTCCTCCATCTTCGCAAAAAAGCTTACACAATGCCTAAATACTGTAGAGGTGGGGGGGGGGTCCTACGAATTTGCAATTCGTGACCTATTTGAGCAAACTACATTATCGGGGAGAAAAAAAAATTCTTTTCTCAGTTGAGTATACGACAGATTTTTTCGTCACTAAGTTGACGTCTTGGCTTGCGAAAAACTTTGCCAAGTTTTTTTTCTTTTTAGTGTGAATCCGAGACTTTGTCGCCGAAGTTATTGTGGCGAGCGAATTTTTTCTTCCTCCGTATGAGTGCGAATCCTCGTCGCCAAAGTTGTTGTGGAGTTATTTCGCAGTGGAGGCTTGTATTCGTACTAAATCAGTCCTAAATAGTTCGACGTACAAAACATTAGGAACCTGATATAATAGGTATTATGCAGAGTAATCTTGTGGTCGCTGACTACTTTCGTATTCGACTAACTGTCGTACTACTGTCGTCCGACATCGATTGACCCTCGTTTCTCTTACTACACCTACTTATATTAGGTGGGAGAGTCTATTAATTATAGAATAGGTGTGTTTCACCATAACAAAAAACTTTGGATACTTCTACAATCCGACACATGATTCAAGACCGTAAATTATGATTAGTTATCCAGAAAGTTCGCAGTTTCCGCAGCCATTGGAAATGATCAAGTACGTTTTCAGCTTAACCGAAGTGACTAGCCCATAACAGCGTTAATGCGTAATGGTAATTTTTTGACATAGGGCCACTGAAAATATTGAAAGGTGCTCGGTCATGTGGAACAGTTGCCCACGGCAGCACTGATCTCATTACACTAAAGAGAAGGGTTCGATAGTGATACCGAACGGGATAATTGAGCGGTCTGGGGAAAATTTTGGACCTGGACCGGGTGCATATGCTCGGGATTCCCGCATTACGCTGATCTTGTGTTACATCCTGCCAGCGTGAGGCGGCAAGTAAATAGAAAGCGTAGTATCTGACTTCGAGCGGACAAACTGCATTTTATCACTGAGTGGTGTCTCTGTCTTCGGGCAGAACACAACAAATAAATGAGGGATGCCTAATCCTGGGGATTCCAACCCTGCAGCAGTACCTCCCTCACTGAACCAAAGTTCGGTGGAATATCAATACCAGCGCGAAGTTGGATGCGGGGACTGGGCTATTTTTGGCCTTGGCCCATCAGTACGTGCTCGGGCTCCCCACTTTAAACCAGCCTTGTACTATATTCCGCCACCGTTGTGGCGGTGGTGGTGGGAGATTAAATACTAACTGTAGTATCTCTGATTATATTTCTAAGATCGGGTATTATAATTATTTGATTGTTATCCTCATCTTTGTCATATTCACGACTTTTCCTGTTCAACTTCTTCAGGTGATTGTAATTTCGAACAGAACACTTTATTTCGTCCACCGGAAGTAGACTGTTCTAGTTCCCCGTGCCATGCCTCTACCGGGTGTTTATTTACATCATTTTCATTGTTAGAGCTAGTGTCCTCATCTTATCTCCCTTTAACTCAACTCTCCAAGTTTTTGTTTACCACTGCCGTAACCAGGTATCGAACTCACAATTCTTTGGGTCAAATCACTGGATCGAACGAATGCTTTTATCCACTGGGCCATGTGTTCTTGAGACATCCGAAGAGACATGACACGTGAAACTAGTAAAATCTGCTCCGGTGGACGAAATAAAGGCTTAGGTTTGAAGTTCCAATCACCTGAAGAAGCCCGGAGCGTACAACGGCCGAAACGTCGTGAACATGACAATAAATATGAAGACAATAGTCCGAACAATGTAAATGATGTAAATAAGTATTGTATTTTAGCCGTTTCCTTATAAGGAAATATTTGCTATTCAATGATCGGGAAGCCATTGCTACTTTCGGTTGGAAATTTTTTCCTTAAAAGATTTTTTCGGGAAAATAGGTTTCTCAAGTCTAGTAACTGTTCTTGCTCTTTCCAGTAGTGATAGAGATTTTCTTCCCAAGCTTTTGATTATTTTCTCTTCAAGTAACATGTGCCATTCATTTTATTTTTAGCCGCTCCTAAAAGTTCTGATGTGATGTTGTTTCTGCCATTTGGTACAGTTATTTGTTAATGATTCTGTAGCGTCAGTCCACGAGGTTTGAAAGACAATCCTCTCCAACACCTACAGTCTTCATTCGCTGGAAGCCATTTTTAATCATTGATCTGAGAAAACGGTTATATGTGGTTGACAGTGAAGATATTTCTAAACGGGTCTAGCGTCATACATGACATCCATATGAAAGTTTCGATCTTACGAGGCTATTTAAGAACATGACTCGAGTTTTCAGATTGATGTTTTCGTTTTTAGCAATCTGCGGTGATGGTCAAAATTAGCCCAACCGCAGCCTAATCTTAAAAATTATCTATATTAATTTTGTTATCAGTGAACCATACATCGATGTATTTGGAGGGTTTAGCATTCAACATTTTGAATATTTGCGATGGATTCGTGGTATATGGCATCACTGCTTTTATTTACATTCCAGATAGTAGTTTCTGTTTTGGAAAGGTTTATTTTGAGTCTTACTTCTTGGATCACTTGGTAGAGAATGTTTTTTTTTTTTTTTTTTGTAAAATGTAATTTTTATTCCAAATATGAATAGCTATGTCATCAGCATATCATCCCACCATCATCAGTACATTGGCCTCGGGAGGGGAAGCGGAATAGCTGTCTTCTATTAGTAGTTCCGTTTGTGATGTGGTATGGGATGCTTAAATGATCAGTGTCCATTTGTTTACATCTGTGCTTGTATATACACATATAGTTTATTAAAAGCTTAAATAGATTGGGGCTCCCATTACCTGATGATGTTTGATATGTTTCCTTATCAGGGTCCTCACCAGACATGTAAGATTTTGTGAACTGATAAAGTTCCTCTATTAGATCAATGTGTTCAATGAAGTTTAGCAATTTACAATGAAACTACATTCAGTACAGTCTATTCTATATTCAATTTTTTTATCTCCTGTACTAAATTTATTATAACTGATTCATACACCGTGGTATTTGAAGTGTTTAGTATTTATTTGCGATGGATTCGTGGCATGTGGCATGACTGCTTTTATTTCCATTCCAGATAGTTTCTTTTTTTGGAAAGGTTTATTTTGAGTCCTATTTCTTGGATCACTTCGTAGAGAATGTAAATTTTTTTTTGTAAAAAATCATTCTTATTCCAAATATGAATAGCTATGTCATCGGCATATTACCTCCACATCATCAGTACATTGGCCTCGGGAGGGGAAGCAGGATCGCTATCTTCTTTTGGTAGATCCGTTTGTGATATCTTATGGGATGCTTAGCTGATCAGTGCCCATCTCTACTGGTCTGTGCTTATATATGCGTAATGCATAATTTTGGAAGAAGTTAAACATATTTGACTCTCATTTCCTCTTTGTCTTAGTCCTGATTGAGTTTAAAATGTTTCGGTGTTGTGGTCTTCACCAGACATACACGACTTTATAGCCCAAAATAATTGTTCTGTAAGATCCAGATATGCAGTGATGTCAGAATTTAGTAAATGACTTCTAATGTAGGAAGACGACAACACTGTTGGTGTGGCCATACGTTGCTGTATGGTCAACAGATCGTTTTTATTGGATCGATATACAATTTTCTGAAGATGTTTGGTGACATATAAGCCAGTATTACATCCTTTCCTAGAGTAAAACCAAATTGGGTTGTGAGCAGTTGATTTTTATAAGAGGGTCAGAGTTTAATTAATAAATTGTTCATGAATATTTTCGCAATGATGGATCATATTGAGCCTTGGTTCTTTATTGCTCTTCGCATCAAAATATATTAAAACTTTATCTTTACAATATCTTATCAAATTTATTATCGCCTTTATTCTTTAGTGAATCTTTCATCAAAATATTGTGATAGATTTTTTTTATTTATTGAATCTCTCGTCAAAATATTGTGATAGATTTGTTCATTTATTGCATCTCTCGTCAAAATATTGTGATAGATTTGTTCATTTACTGCATCTCTCGTCAAAATATTGTGATAGATTTGTTCATTTATTGCATCTCTCGTTAAAATATTGTGATAGATTTGTTCATTTACTGCATCTCTCGTCAAAATATTGTGATAGATTTGTTCATTTATTGCATCTCTCGTTAAAATATTGTGATAGATTTGTTCATTTACTGCATCTCTCTTCAAAATATGATAGATTTGCATTCCAGATAGTAGTTTCCATAGGAGTTTCGTAATCCATCAAGGTCGTAGGGGTACCACATGTACTACAGTCGTAGCATCAGTGGGAGTGTCTGGAGTAAAATAGCCTGGCGGAACCTATCGTTCTTTCGGCTGATTTTGAATTCCCAGCTGTTGTTCTATTCTGGAGGAAGAGGGGAAACATTTTAGGGCTTTTTGCCACCCAATACTATAGAACACACACTGCCAAGGACTTTTATGCAAAGGTGAGCCGAAGAGACTAACGAAGAATTTGAATTCGGCTCGCCGATTTCAGATTCCGTGCTGATATCCGTTACACTACCCGAACATGCAACAAAATTCTTGCTTTTAGTTGAGACTCTATTAAAGTTTTAACATTATTCAATATTTCAAATTTCGTATTCGTTCAACATTTAAATGTATTCAATATTTTCAATTTAATCAAAATTTAAATTTATTATGTAATTCAAATTTAATATTTCATTTGTTACGTATTTAGTGTTCTCCGTTATAATTTATATACTATACATTTAATTGCAAATTTTTGCAATTAATTTTCGACAGATTTTTTATTTTTTGCCTACTTTCTCGCATCTCAAAATGTGGGTCTTTTAACGATCGTGTTTTTAAAATCTACCATATCGAAAATTCCCAACAACTGCACACATTAATATTTTTCTGAGTTTAACGAGGAATATCACAAGGAACTGATATTTTAACAATGAGGTATCGACTCTTGACTCAAACCGATAGGTGACAATGTCAATATTTAAAAATTTTACATTTTATGAACATTAATCAAAAAATAATGCCTTCTCGAATTAAATTTTAAAATATTTTTACAATTACTATTTTTTTAGCTATAAAATATAAAGTTAATATTTGTGGAGTTAACGTTTTCTGCTTCTAACCGTCTGGAAAAAAATATCTGCGCTTCTCGCCTGAGTACATCCTTCAAATCAACAAATCTACCATTCGTCCTTGAACTGTTGTTATATATGGTCTGGTGCTCTTGCTGTTCATCTCGAAGCACTCGACAAAATCCAGACGGATACGGATATGCATCATTTCACCCACGGAAACGAATAGGTCCTGAGGCTCGGCCAAAAAATAGCCTTTTGGCCGATTCGGGTTCGTCGGACGAAAGTCAAACGGGTTTCTCAGCTAACGTTGATCGGAAGTCAGCCCAAGAACTTCCCATCTATCTCGTTTCTTTCTCAAATATTTTCATATCTTTCTACAACTGCAACTGACAAGTTATTTTCACTGGTACCCTGACTACATGAATTTAAGCGTGCTACTAGGCTGGCATCTCAGTCCCACCCTTTCACTGTCGAAACGGTTAAATGCAGCCGTCTCTTCCATTCCAACAGCTTCTTATCTCGCACTTCCCGATCGTTGAGCTCCCTTCCTCTTATTAACTTCTCTGATAGCTATAATCTTCATATATTCAAATGCAATCTCAATCGGCATCATCAGATGCCTTGATCCTGATCCCGTCCTTCTCTATATCCTTTCCTCAAGCACCCCTCTTTACTCTTGCTCTCACTCTCTGTAAACCCTCCCTTTTTTACTCTTACTTTCACTCTCTGTAAACCCTTGCGCGCTGGTGGCACCCCCGCCTTGCTTGGCATGAAATGCTTAAAAAATATGTAGAAAAGAAATGGATACCACAGAGTTTATGTTTTTTGGAAGGCTAAAGAGCTGCAAAGAGTCACGGGAGATTAATGGATATTAATGAAAAGACTAAACTTGATTTAAACACACAGAGTGTGTAGGTCACTTGAGTTAATGACAATCGTAGAGAAAAATTCAAGAATGACTTTAGTGAGAGGCTAAACAGTGGCAGGTCAGATGCTTCAGAGAATGAAGATAATAACAGCAGTTGCAGCTCTTGTAAGAGAAGACAGAATTTCGCCTACAAAACTCTACGAAAGATGACATGTGATCTGTGGTAGTGCCTAAAGTTTGGTGCATTCGTTTGGCACCTCAAATGTCTGTGCAAAATGGATTCCTAGTCTTTATGAATGAACAGAAGACAGTTGTGCAGACTCGGATCTGTTTGACTCTATGAAAGAAACACCCAGAGAACAGCCGTTTTCCAATGCCTCAAGTATAAATTCGTCCAGTGTCTACCGATAGATTCGGATATGCGGGCGGTTTATAGCGATTCGGAATGAAAAATCAGAGCACCTAGTTCGAATTCCAGTCAAATTCGTTACACACACTTACGCGCAAATACTCTTGAAAAATGTATGAAACCCTCTCATCTCTCCGCACATCTATGGGTTAAATAGGAGAACTTGTATCTGGAAAAATGTTTGTTATCTTCATAAAATTGTTAATGCAATATTCACTCAAAGAAAAGAATTCTTATCGAAATGTGTTTCAGCTTTAAATAACAAACAACAGGTTGATAAACAGCAAAAAAAAAACAGTCAGTCAATCAATTTAATATCAATAGATTCAATTATAATCCCGAGTAATGTTTACTTATAAAGTCAAATATTTACCAAATCAAGGTTTACTTATACATTCATGTATAAATCTGATCAGTGTTTATCTATAGACTCATGTATAAAAGCAAATTATGTTTACCTATAGGCTCGAGTTCAAACACGACTAATGTTTGCCTATAAGCTCAGGTATAAGCCCAACCAATATTTACCTATAGACTCAAGTATAAATTCAACCAATATTCAGCTATAGTATAAAAACAACCAATGTCCACCTCTAGACTCAAGATTAAATTTGACAATTTTTTTCTATAGACTCTAGCAGTAAGTCGACCAATATGTATAAGCATGGCTCAGGTATAAACATGATCAATGTTTAATTATCAACTCAAGTATAATAAAAGAAACGCATTCCAGCATTTGCATAAGGTTGGATATGTTGTAAAATCCACCAAAGACGTTCAAAAAGGTAACTTTCACATGGCTGAAAAACAACTATGAAGCTTTTATATGTCTTGATTCAAAGGAAGAATTATATACCTTGATTCAAAGGCAGAATTATATGCCTTGATTCAAAGAAAATATTATATACCTTGATTCAAAGAGAGAATTATATGCCTTGATTCAAAGAGAGAATTATATGCCTTGATTCAAAGAAACTATTATATACCTTGATTCAAAGACAAAATTATATGCCTTGATTCAAAGAAAGAAGACCAAGATTTGGAAGCAAGTGTCTACACAGGTTAAGAAACTTGAAATATCTTTGTCCATTATGTTATATCTTCGTAGTTGTAATTAGAAAAGGATAGACATTGCTTTTTGACCAACCCGCGTACCACCATTGTAAATGAAATGGAGGATGTTAAAGACTAGATTTGGAATCCTAACACTTTTGTATTCATTTTGTATTCTTTGTGTGTTTCTACTCTTAAGTCTGTTATAATTAAAGAAGAATAGACATTTACGGCTGCTGCTTTATAAATTTAAAAAGAAAAACAAAAACATTCGCTTTTTTTCTCTGCAAAATTCATACGATACCTTCAACAGATACGACATTTTATAGAACGCACCTGTTTCTTTGTTTATTTAATTATCGACAAGATGCAAATCTCAGAAGAGCTGTTGCGATTTTTCTTAACTGTTATTAATTTTATTTTGATAATTGAAACCCACTGACAACCGCAATTAACGTATTTTTATTATTGTAAGTAGCAAGTCCTCGTAATAAGTTTAGTATAGTCTGTCACAAGGCCATGAATAGAGAAAAAAATACAAGGTTGAATTAATTTCCGTAGTAAGAGTTCAGTTATGTGCCATGCGTGATACACGCTTAGGCGATCATGTATCATTCGATACATGACTGAAGTGGCAGATTTTTCCAATCAGCAGGTTGCCATTTCTTTCTGCGGTAGATCAGTTGGCACCCAAGGCTATAGAACCCGGTTTGTCCTGCTATTTACCCATAGCTAAAGGGAGAAGAGGATTCATACCTTTCCCAAGGGTATTAGCACATAAATGGATTCGAGTGGAATTCGAACTCGGCTCTTAGATTCCTCAATCCGAGCCGCTATCCATTACTTCACCGTATGGCATAATGGATAGCTGCTCGAATTGAGGAATCCGAGAAACGAGTTTGAATTCCAGTCGAATCAATTACGTTCACTTACCTGCTAATACCCTTAGCCATACTTAGCCATAACTCTATATATATATATATATATATATATATATATATATATATATATATATATATGATTATTAAAAAAGAATGAACTGATTTCACTACACGATATTTTAATAAGCAAAAGCAATAGAAAACTCACGTCACAAGTATTCTACTAACAATCAACTTTTATTTTCTGTCTTACAAGTGTTCAATATGGCCACCACCTGCAGTACAGGCAACATCAATGCGATGAGAGAATTCCTTCTAGATGTGTATCAGTATATCAAAATCCACTGAGTTGATCCCTGTTTTTATTCGATGTTTAAGGTCAGCGAGATTAATTGGTAGCGGTGGAACATAAATGCGATTTTTTACGCGTCCCCACAAGAAAAAAAAAACACACACACAGTGAGGTCTTGGGATCTCGAGGCAAAGAACAAAGAGCAAGCTCTTGGTAAGTGACTGAACGAGGCGTCGTCTGTAAGGTTTCAAATGTAGACGTCAGATAATAGATTGAGTGATCGCAAGCTCACATCTAGTTCGATTTGTGAACTTCCACGAACTCCCCTCAAAAGCAGCATGGATTCTCACCGAAACTCTTTGTCGCCGGGACTTTTTTCTTTACACAGACTCCCACTTTGTTGAAACTGTATAAAGCACCGTCGAATGTACTTATACTTAAATAAATATGTATTTTTCGCTACACAGTAATTTCAATATTTCAAAAATGGAAGCTAAAAACTTCAAATTTAATTTTGTAATTAAATTAAAAACATTAGTTCCATTTCCTCTTCAAGCGAAGTTTTTAGCTTCCATTTTTGAAACATGGTTATTACTGTGTAGCGAATAAACTATATTTTAAACCAGTTAATTTAATA